GAAAATTTGCGTTTATATATCACTGATGTTGCAAGTGAATAACTCATTATAAAAATGTCAGATAACTCAATATGGATTGCATTCTTATAAGCCTAATCTGGAAACGCAACCAATCCAAAGTTATATGATGAAGAAACTACGACCAAGTCAAGGATAACGTCGTGAGCTTTTACATAAATTCATTTTCGTCCGCATGAAATAACATCAGATATGTTTTCAGTATGATTCTTGGCGGCCACTGTGGCTTTAAAAAAAATATTTTGACAAGAATAATGGGGTTTAATAGCACGTGGGTTAGTGGAAAGTAAAAATGGGTTTGAAAGCTAGCAGTAACGAAAAAAGTACAATAAGGGCCAAGAATAAAAATTGTGACGGATAAAATTACTTGGTAGCCGAAGGCCTGCAGGGAATTGTCTACAATAATTGTTTTACGCAGATCTCTTCCAAGGACCCGAAGATCTTTCACATAGTTCCCATTGACACATACACAATGTTCTCGAAAAAGGCGATGCCTTAGAAAAATACAAAGATAAATTAGCTCAGAAAAATATAAACATCAAAGGGCTAATTGCAAAAAGTTCAAATTGATCATTTTTTATAATAATCACCTAATCCACTTCTTTTTAGGATCCAGCAGATTAACTAGTCGATCAGCATAGACTTTCGTGCTCGCCGTAAAGAGTACAATCTCAAATATTTCCGAAACACGGGCAAGAAATTCGTATAAATTTGGTCTGACTCGTACGTACACCTAAAATTGTTTAAAAAGTGGATTAACATACTTAAATGTTGAATATCCTAGAGATAATAATCAAGATAGCCAATCAACCACTTGAAATCAGGCCCAAATAGACATAGATCTCTTCCAGTTAGCGGCATCAACCATCTTTCAAAAAATAATCGACAGACAAGTTAGCCTGATAATCTACATGAGTTTCCGTGATGTATAATAATGCAGCAGGTAAAGAAAATTTTCATTATAAAGAAAAAGAAATATGACAATTTTTGAATATACACCAGTCATAAATACAGTGATGATGGCTATTAAAAGCAAAGGAGCAGATTTAAAGACCCGAGAATTATAAAATCGTTCCAAGTCGACTATCAGA